TCGACAGCGCAAAATCCCCTTATTCTAAGATTTAACAGATCCTTACCCCTCCTAGTCTCTCACTACAGAATGTCTTTCATTCACTTGGCATTCAGCCTCAGATACCACGTTTGGCTTGTTTGTTTTCTACCATCAGCATCCTGTTTTTATTTGGGTTCATTTGGTTAATGTTCTCCAACTTGCACACTAGTTCTCCTCCTATGAATTCAAAGCACCTAGTGCCCACTGTAAGCACATACGTTAAAAGATTTTATAAATTAACTGACAGAGCACAGGTCTAACTCAAAGAATCAGGTATCTTTATTCCAATAAACAGAGGAGTCCTAGTGGCACAGGGGTTAAAGTGCTAGGCTGCTACCCCAAGAGTCAGCAGTTTGAACTCACCAGTTGACTTCTGTAAAGATTCACAGCCTTGAAAACCGGATGGGGCAGTTCTACTCTCAGGACTGCTCAGTCAGAATGACATGGACAGCAGTGGAGACTCCAATCAATGATTCTAACACAAGCCACTGTTTTTGTTTCCAACTTTTTATTGTGAATTGAGTGAAGGTTTTCAGAGCAGATCATCAGATTCACATTTAGCAAGTCATATACTTTGCTTCATTACATGGCTGCAATCCCCTCCATGTGCCAACAGTTCACAGCATTGACCTTTATTCACTTTAACTACTGCATTCCCCCCACCCCTCCTGCTGCCTTTATGCTTCCTCTAATAACCTCCCTCTTGTATAGTGCCTGCCCTGTCACCCATGCTAACATGTGGCTACCCTCCAGCCCATGAATAACTTTTCCTCCCCAACCTGTAACCATCATAGAATGTTTCTTTTGTCAAGAAAAACTTCTGGTAATTTTTTTTTTAACAACATTGGTCTCATACAGTATTTGTTCTTTAGTGGCTGACTAATTTCATTCCGCAAAATGTCCTCCAGGTTCAACCATGCTGTGAGGTGTTTCACAGATTCTTCATTATACATCAACATTTTATAGTATTTCATTGTGTGTATGAACCAAAGTTTGTTTAGCCATTCTTCTTTTTAGGTGGTCTCCCATCTTTTTGATACTCTTGCAAACGGCACATTGAAGGAGCCTGCTGTCCTATCCATTCTGCTATCTCCCTCCCCCGATTCTGGAACTAAGCACACTCAAGAAAGCTTGTAAGCCAGCCACTTGATGCCTTTGTAGCCACCAAGGCTTCTTGCAATTCTCGCTGTTGTTAAGTGCTGTCAAGTCAGTTCCAACTCATATGCTGAGGAGCAGCTGGTGAGCTTGAATCTGATTATTCTTAAATGGTCTCCCACAATTTTTTTATCCTGAGATGTGTAAATAAGACATGTAAAATCCCTTCAGGAACTATCATCAACTCATTTCCTCAGTTCCATTTTTATATACCCTGTATTTTACCCTTACTTAACAAGTTGTTGTTTTTGTTAAGTGCCGTCGAGTCGATTCTGACCTCTACCGACCCAGTATGGGTTTCCCAGGAATAGCTGGTGAGCTTGAACTGCTTTGAACTACCTTGCAGTTCAAACGGCTTTGCAATCTGGCACATTAACCCATAGTTCCCCCAAATATGCAGGGAAACGGTTTACTTACATCAGTGCCTAAGCCACTCTTCCCTCAGCCCTCAAAAACTTGACTTAGATGCTGTCTTCTCTTCAAGCCTTCTCTGATTCCCCAAGCATGGTCAGGTCCCCTCCCCCTCATTCCCACACCCTACTACACAGGCTTTAATCATTACCTTTATCCTACTTAGCTGTAACTATTTATTTACTTTCATGGCTTCCTTTGATTTCTGTATTTTGGATATAGAGAATAAAGATTAGAACACTGTGTTGTGTTGTTAAGTGCTGCTTGCTGCAATCAGCAGTATCTTAAATATCTCGGAAATACTACTTTCACATTAGACAGACAGCACTGCACAGTAACAGCATGGCTGAGGAAATAAACAGGGGGTTGGCTGCTGTGGAGTTGGTTCCCATTCAGAGCGACCCTGGATAGGGTTTCTGAGGCTGTAAATCTTTACAGGAACAGAAAGCCTTCTCTATCTCCGGAGGAACTGTTGGTAGTTTCGAGACTGCTGACCTTGAGGTTAGCAGCCAGACTCGTAATCCCTACAGAGGAAATAGATACGGACCATCTGAAACAATAGTGAAGCTATAAACTGAGGCTATCATAAAAGTCAAAGCTGCACAATCACAGAGGGAGAACTACTGCCAAAGGGAGGAATGCTGTCCAGCGATCCGAAGCATAAAAGCTCACATAAAAAGCTTTAGCCTTTACATGAAAACGTTGGCAAAATCTTCCCATTATAGAAACAGTGGTGAAAGGGTAAGTTAAAAAAAAAAAAAAAATCAACTCCTTCCTTTAATACATTCCAGAAAAATTCCAGTCAATTATGAAAACATTTTAGGACAGAAACAACTCCCTGTAGCAAGTCACAGCTGCACAGCAACCATCTTTTCTAGACAAATTGGCCTGCAATACTTCCCGAAGGGAACTGTAGGGTGAGAAGGTCAGTGTGGACAGAGATCAAAGAGATAATAAGCCTTACAGGAGTGCTCAGCAATTATAAAACCCAAATTCTTGACTCGAAGGGTACAAAAATGTTCCCATATTTCAAATCCACATACTAATAATATCTGCTGTTAAGTGCTGTCAAGTTGGTTCTGAACTCACAGTAACCCTGTATTGGGTTTCAGAGAGGCTGGTGGGTTTGAACAGCCAACCTTGAATTTAGTAGTCCAGTGCTTATCCTAGAGCTTCACACTTGCTATTGTTGTTATGTGCCATGGCGTCGGTTCCGACTCATAGTGACCCTGCACAGAGTTTCTGAGGCTGTAAGTCTTTACGAGAGCAGAAAGCCTCATCTTGTTCCCATGGAATAGCTGGTAGTTTCGAACTGCTGACCTTGAGGTTCATAGCCCAATTCATAACCACTATACTACGAGAGCTCCCAGAGTGCCACACTGTTGTTAAGTGTTGTTAAGTGTCGTCGAGTCGGTTCTAACCCATAGCGACCCTCTAGAGGGTTTCCAAGGAGCTACTGGTGAGCATGAACCACCAACCTTGCAGTTTAAACTGACTTTGCAGTCTAGCGCATTAACCCACAGCGCCACACCAGGACTCCATTAGTACTCTGTTGTTCTTATACGCCCTGGAGTTGGTTCTAACTCATAGCGACCCTGTACAGAGTTTCCGAGGCTGTAAATCTTTACGGGAGCAGAAAGCCTCCTCTTTCTCCCGCACAATAGCTGGTAGTTTCGAACTGCTGACCCTGAGGTTAGCAGCCCGATTCATACCTACTACACCACCAGAGCCCTAGGGAGTTTAAAAAAGCCTATAGAAAATTGAATGAAAAAGATGATAGTTTTCCGCTAATTTTTTGAACTCTCCTTGTACAAGCGGAGACAAAGAATAGCAGTGTGCCAATTTGAAGAAAACCAATTTCCCTTTTATCACTGTTTTATTGTTGTTCCTGAACAAGCTGGCATTATATTTATGCCAGAAATAAAACTGACATTAATCACCAAGACAAGGCTGTATGCCCTGAAAATGCATTCTTCCTAAATTAGTTAAAATTTGTTTTACTAGTAAAACAGATCGGTTGCCCCGGGATTGAGTAATTCCGAGGGTTACAACGCCTCCACCTCTTAATTTCCTCATAAAAACTGTAAATGGATTGGGGGTAAAAATGCCAAGTTGGAGACAGACTGGAAGCATTACTTCTTAAAAAAGACTTTTGGGGGAAAAGTACAACAGGAGATACAAGACAAGAACAGGCAATACAATTTTCAGTAAATTCCAAAGTCTCCGAATTCGAGTCTTAAACTCTCTTATCTTTATACCAGAAGCTAAATGCTTTTCTCCCACGATCAGTAGCGATGGGGTGGGGTCGGGAGACACAAGTTGGATCAGACCCACAGGTTTCACAGGTTTGCCCAGAAGGCAGTTTTAGGGTTTCACCCTCGCTAGAGAAAACCCACCCACGGCAGACGAATGATTCCGACTCAGTGCGACCCGACAAGGCAGAGGAGAGCGGCCCCAGAGGGTTTACAAGGCTGTGATCTTTAGGAGACAGCAATTCTCATACCTTGTTCCTGTGTCCAGGGACTTTCTGAAGGCCCATGGCCTGAAGGAGGCAAAGAAGAGAAATGAGCAGAAAAAAAAACCCCGAAGACCCAGTAAGAAACAAAAACAAATCCGTTGCTATGGAGTCCATTTCGACTCATACCTACCCTAAAAACAACAACAAACAACAACAAAAACACCCCACTGCCAGCGAGTCCATCCCGACTCCTAACGACCCCATAAGACAGAGCAGAACTGCTCCTGAAAATCTTCAAACAGGACTGTCTCATCCGTCTTCCGTGGAGCCGCTAGGGAGTTTGAACCGCAGACCTTGAGGTTAGCAGCCGAACGCTTAACCCGCCGCACCACCAGGGATTTCTAAGTGCAAACACTTGTAGAGACACTAAGCGACACACCGTTACCTTGGAAACCAAGCCAACCACTTTACCCCTCCTCAGGGACCTCCGGACCCACCCTTTTGGGCCAGGAGTCGCAGGCTAGATGAAGCGGAGAGAAGGAAAAGCGTGTGTAGGGGCGTCTTCTCTCGAGGCCCTGCCCCGAGCCTCGTTCCCCGGAGCGCCTACCGAATAGAGGTGCACGACAGCGCTGGGACTGGTGGAGCCGACCGAGAAACAAGAGTTAGATGAACTGGAAGAATCCATGGTGCAGCTGCCGTCCCAGGCGGGTCTGGGAGTCCTTGCTAAGCGCTGGTGGTGCTGTAGCTGCTGGGGGCGGTTCTTCCGCGCTGGGCGGCCCGACCTCGCCTAGGGCTGTAGCACCTTCTGCGGCCGCTCCGGAGGACCCCGGGCGCCGCCATCTTAAGCAGAGCGGAAGCCGGGTGGGGGCCTGGCGCGCACGCGCAGACGCGCCGGGAACCCGGAAGCCGAGACGTGGCGCGGTCTGTTTCGGGTTCCTTAGTCGCAGACCCAGCGATGGCTCACGAGGGGTCTCCGAGGTCCCCCGCACCTGCCAGCTCTCAGATGCTTCTGGATTCTCTGCTCCAGAACCTCTACGACTTTGGTGAGTGCGGGGCCTTGGGGATCCACGCGAGAGCGGACTTGCGAGTGAGAGTCTACTGGGCGCCAGAAACTGATGGGAAGGGATTTTCCAACTCTTGAGACCCGGTTCTGGGTCTGAGGTCCGGTGACGTCATTGGACTGTTGTCACCCCCCTCCTACTATGCCAGGCCAGTGTGATTATTGTCCAGTTTAATCATAGACTAATGTACGATATCATTAGTGAGTTGCTTAAATATTTGAATATTAAGAATGAAATTGTTTTGTAAAATTCTTCTGCGTTGAATTATAACATCAGTTACAACATTATTAGTAACTGAATGGCAGCCTGTTTTGATTTTTCTCCCTTTCATTTAATTACTACTTAATTCTCAAAAAAGTTACAGGTATAGGTTCACAAATACTAGTTACCACAATGTTGTAACTAGGAAATTTGACAAAAATCAATGACTATGAAATCACCAGCACCCACGTGATGTAAACAAAACCAAGTAATTCAGTGTCGTCGGAACTGGGTAATGACAGTTCTGATTGGAGTACCTTGTTGTTGTTGTTGTTAAGTGCCGTCGAGTCGGTTCCGACCCATAGCGATCCTGTACAGGGTTTCCGAGGGTGTAAATCTTTACGGGAGTAGAAAGCCTCATCTTTCTCGCGCGGAGCAGCTGGTAGTTTCGAACCACTGACCTTAAAGTTTGCAGCCTGATTCGTAACCACTACGCTAAGAGTGCCTTAGATGGTTCAAAAGGTAAAATAACTTTAAAAATAGACTTTTACCCTTGTAGATATATTGATATATGGCAAGCTGGCCTTTGGGAAAAAGTGTTATAACTAGCGACAGGGGTATTATAATACATTTCTGTTGAAACTTGTCAAAAACCTTATACATTCATGTGGTTATCACCCTGTTGGACCGTCACCGTGCGCAGAGTGTACCCCCTGCAGCTCTCAAGTGACACCACTGCTGAGGTCCCCCTTCTGTCCCCTCCATTGGCTTCGTTGAGTAATTCTCATGAATCAAGCCCCTAACTCCTCCCTGAGTGTACAGGAGCAACCTAGTTACTCTGGGGAAGCACCAAAGCTTTCAGAATTCGCTGGAGTGATTTGCCAGAACTTTGTACTCTCGAAACAGCCCGCTTCTTCACTTCTTTCAACCCCTTGGGAACCTCCTCTTCACCCCATGATTTCCCTGCCCCTTACGGATGGCACCTGCCTAATCCGGGTGCCTTGGTTTACCTGGTCACTCTGGGAGTTCAGGCCAGTCGTTGGGTAATTCACTGATCTTGTTATTCAGATCTCATTATACTTGGCACCAGGCCTCCAGAGTCATATTTCACAAACATTTGTAACAGTTGGCTGACCTATGCTCACATTCCTTTATCTTGATGGGGAAAATAAAAATAAAAAAGCTGTTTTTAAAGATTAGCAGTATGTCTCTTTAGGAGGAAAACAGTCTCATACACTCAGAAGAACTTGCCCCAGGAAAGTCCAAATTTCTGCTCTGCACCAAGGCTACTACTTATAAAGCACTTGGGTCTTTAAGGAACAAACACATTTTAAAAATTTATAATGGCATGTTTTAAAAACTATTTTATTTTTAATTTAGAGCAGTTATCCAAATTTTAAGCTCACCTAAATAATATGAATAATAGCATAAAAGCTTTAAGAATTTGTCGTGTACTTTGGGTGTGGTGCTATGGGATAAAGCACTAGACCACACGGTTGGTTTGAACCATGAGGTCTGTGGGTCAAACTCACCAGTCACTCCTGGGAAATCCTATCCAGGGTTACTATGAGTCAGAACTGACTTGACAGCACTTAACAACAAAACAACACACACTTATAATAAAGAATTTAAAACTAAAACCAAAATCACTACCACTGAGTCAGTTCTAACTATGTTGTTTTTAGGTGCTTTTAAGTTGGTTCCAACTCATAGTGACCCAATGCATAATAGAACGAGAAGCAATGTCTGGTCCTGCACCATCCCAATAGCTGTTACACTTTAGCCCATTGTTGTTCCCATTGTGCCAATCCATTTCGTTGGGGGGGGCGGGTCTTCCTTTTTCTTTGAACCTCCACTTGCCATTCTGCAAGGACTGGTCTTTCTTGATGACGTGTCTGAGTCTGAGGGACGAGGGCTTTACCGCCTGCCTTCTAAGAAGCATCCTGGCTGCACTTCTTCCAAGGCAGATTATTTTCCTAGAAGTCCATGGTACTTCTAATCATCTCCTCCAACACCATAACTCAAATGCATCATTCTTGTACATCTTCCTTATTCATTGTCTAACTTTCACATGCATACGAGGTGATTGAAAATACTATGACTTGGGTCAGGCACACGTTAGTCCTCACACTAACATCTTTGTTCTTGAATGCTCTAAAGAGTCTTGTGCAGCAGATTTGCCTGATGTAGTCCATTGGTTTCTTTCTTTTCTTTTTTTTAAGTTTTATTGTGAATTATGTGACAGTTTACATGGGAGAACATTAGTTTTACATTCATCTTATCATATATTGTTTCCCTGCCATGGTTACAATACCCTCCACGCATCATCAGTCAACAAAAAGGTACATCCTATAAGCCTGCTCCCCCACCCCACCCCTCACCCCCGGTCATCAGCACCCAGTCCCCCTTCCTCCCTGGGTCCTGAGTCCCCAGCTGCTCCATCTCTCCATGTCATCATCTCTGTCTCCATCTTGGGGATCACTGCCTCTCTGGGTAGGGTCCCGCTCTCCACTCTTCTCCCTTCATGGTTCCAGGGAGCTCTGCTCCCATCCTGCAAAGTCAATCACTCCACTCCTTGCCACAAAATGCCCACTTTTACATTTACAACTTTCACAATCAGTCCCAGTAACAATTATTCACCCTTGCATCACAAGAGACCTGTTCGCATGTCATTTAATCAGTTCCGCCTAGACAGATTGCATACTACTCAGTGGAGATTCTACCTTCCTCCACGCCCTTTGGATCTAGGTTCCCTCTTGAAAGCTTGTAAGCCAGTCACTTCTTGACTTTGTAGTCTCCCCATTTTGGATAGCCAATGTCCAAATTGCCCATCCCTGTCTACTCTGTGTATGGAGGAGGTGGGAATATTCCCTGTTGCAAAGATTTGTTCCCTCGTTTGAGCTACTGCATCTGTAGGTGTAGGTCAAGTTCATTGGTTTATTTCTTAACTGTTGCTTCCATGAGTGTTGATTACAGATCCAAGCAAAATGAAATCTTTGACAACTTCAATCTTTTCTCATTTATCATAATATTATTTATTGATCCACTTGTGAGAATTTTTGTTTTATTTACATTGAGGTGCAATCCATACTGAAGGTTGTAGTCTTTGATCTTCACCAGTAAGTATTTCAGTCCTCTTCACTTTCAGCAAGCAAAGTTGTATCGTCTGCCTATCACAGATGGTTAATGAGTCTTCCTGAAACCCTGGTGCCATGTTCTTCTTGTCATACAGCTTCTTGGATTATTTGCTCAGCATACAGATTGACTGTGTTGTTATTCTTAAGTGCCGTCGAGTGTTCCGATCCATAGCGACCCTGTATAGGGTTTTCGAGGAGCAGCGATGAGCTTGAACCACCAACCTTGCAGTTCAAACGGCTTTGCAGTCTGACGCATTAACCCACAGCACTACATCCACCAGTGTGGCGCACATTTTTCCTGATTTTAAACCATTCAATATCCCCTTGTTCTGTTCAACAATGCTTCTTGGTGTATATATAGGTTCCTCATGAGAACAATTAAGTGTTCTGGAATCTCCATTCTTTGCAACGTTGTCATAGTTTGTCATGCTCCACACAGCTGAAAGTCTTTGCATAGTCAGTAAAACACAAGTAAACATCTTTCTGATAGTCTTTGCTTTCAGTCAAGATCCGTCTGATGTCAGCAGTGATATCCCTAGTTCTATGTCCTCTTCTGAATCTGGCTTGAATTTCTGTGAGTTCCTAATTGATGTACTGCTGCAATTGTTTTTCAACTACTTTCAGCAAAATTTCAGTTAGCATATGCTATTCATGATATTGTTAGATGATTTCCCCATTCCTTTGGGTCACCTGTCTTTGAAGTGGACCAATAGGTTGGCCAAGTAGCTGTTGTCTTCCACATTTCTTGGCATAGATGAGTGAGCCCCTCCAGTGCTGTGTTTCAGTTTGTATTGTCAGTTCATGGAGCCCTGTTTTTAACAGTGCCTCACTGCAGCTAGGACTTCCTCCTTCAGTACATCAGCTCTTGATCATATGCTACCACTGGAAATGGTTGAGCCTCCTTCATTTTTTTGGTGCAGTGACTGTCTAGTCCTTCCATCTTCTCATGATGCTTTCTGCATCATTCAGTAGTTTCCTCATTGTGGTGGTGCTCTTCATGCTGCTGAGTCAGTTCCAACTCATAGCAACTCTGTAAAGTGGTGCCTAGGAGAAGCTGGTAGGCTTGAACCACCAACCGTTCAGTTAGCAGGGCGCTGCTTTTCCTACAGTGCCGTACCAGGGCTCCATGGAGTCTTTCAGTATTGCAAGTAAGCCTTGAATCTTTTTTTTTTCAGTTCTTTCAAGTTGAGAAATTCTGAGCATGTTCTTCCCTTTAGATATTCTAACTCTGGGTCTTTGTGCATCTCATTATAATGCTTGACTTTGTCATCTGATCTACCCTTTGAGATTTTGTGTTCAGCTCTTTTACTTCCTCATTGCTTCCATTTGCTTTAGCATCTCTACGCCGCCGGAGAGCTAGGTTCAGAATCTCTTCTGATATCCACTTCGGTCTATTGTTTCTTTTCTGTCTTTTTAATGACCTTTTGCTTTCTTGCTGTACGATGTTCTTGGTGCCATCCCACAGCTCTCTGGTCTTTGGTCACTAGTGTCTAATGCATCAGATCTCGACTTGAGTTGGTGGTACCTTGAATTTACCTGATATGGCTTTGTTATCTAAAATATTCTTAATTCCCACCAAGTGATTGGGTGGAACCGTGCAAATAAGGTGGAGATTAGTTAGCTTTACCACCCAGCTAGGTTTAGAAGGAGCCATCTCAGTAGCAGGAACAGACAGTCCCAGGAGCATCCAGAAAGAAGAGCATGAATGGAGGTGAGATCCTGACCTAGAAAAGCAGAGACAGCAGAGGCGGTGGGGTGGAGAGACACTGCAGCTGCGGGCTGTAGGCACAGCTGAGTCAAGCCAAGTGCCCACGGGGCAGGAGCCTGGCTTGCTGAATGTACCCTTTGGGTATTCACATACTGGCTCCAAGAGCTTTGTCACACTTGCTCAAGCAGGGCAGAGGTCAAGTGACCACATGACTGACAGGCTGAAGACAAGAGTGAGGTGTGCTTGTAGTATGTATGACAAGCAAGAGACGTTCCTGACTGGAGAACCGCTGCGTCCTGAGTTTTTCTGATCCTGAATTGTATCCAATTCACTTCCCTAATAAACTCCATTACTGTGAGTGTTAAGAGTTCTGTGTGGCCACTGTAATGGATTATTGAACCCAGATGTGAAGTGGAGAGTATGGTGGAGAGATGGGTGGTTGGTGTCAGAACAGGGTAAAGAAAGTTGGAGAGTAGAGGCATGTCTAACCTCCACTTCATAGGAATCAGCCTTGGGTTGCTTTTGAGTTTCTCTCTTCCCCTTGTGAAGCCAGTGGGAGTCAGGTCTGGCTCTCACTTGGTTTAAGCAATGATGGTCTCTAAATTCAGGTGGGATGTGTCAAGGTTATATTTTGATTTTCCTGGACTTGTTTTAATTTTCTTCAGCTTCAGCCTGGACTTGAATTGATGGTCTGTTCCACAGTCTGCCCCAGGCCTTGTTTTGACTGATGATACTGAGCTTCTCCATCATCTCTTCCCACAGATGTAGTCAGTTTGATTCCTGTGCATTTCATCTGGTGAGGTCCGTGTAGATAGTCACCTGTAGTTGTTTAAGAGAGGTATTTGCAGTAAATGAAGCCATTGGTTTTTAAAAATTCTAGCATGGCAATCTCTAGCATCATTTCTGTCATCAAGGTCATATTTTCTAAGGACCGATCTTTCCTCTTTGCTTCCAGCTTTCACATTCCAACCACCACTAATGATCGATGCATTTTGGTTGCATGTTTGATCAACTTCTGACTGACGAAGTTTGTAGGATTCCTCAATTTCATCCTCACTGGCTTTGGTGCTTGGTGCATAAATTGGAATGGTAGTGGTATTTCTTGTAGGTGTATGGATATTATCCTGTCACAGACAGGGTTGTTCTTCAAAATAGATCTTGAAATGTTCTTTTTAACGACGAATGCAATGCCATTCCTCTTGAATTTGTTATTCCTGGCATAGTAAACCATGTGAGTCTCTGATTCAGAATGGCCAACACCAGTCTGTTTCAGATTGTGAATTTTAGCTCACTAGCTAACAGAATGCAGATATCATCAGACAGTCTCTTTGATATCCCATGCGAGTAAAGTTTTACTAAAGGTAATATAGAAACGGCTGCAAGCGTACACTGACAGAGAACTTCCAGAGGTTCAAGCCACATTCAGAAGAGGCCGTGGAATGAGGGATATCATTGCTGATGTTGGATGGATCTTGGCTGAAAGCAGAGACTATCAGAAAGATGTTTACCTATGCTTTATTGACTACGCAAAGGCTTTTGATTGTGTGGATCATGACAACCTATGGACAACATTGAAAAGTATGAGTATTCTAGAACACTTAATTGTGTTCATGAGGAATCTGTATCTGGACCAAGAAGCAGTTGGTCGAACAGAACATGGGAACACTGAATGTTTTAAAATTTAAAAAGCTGTGTGGCAAGGTTGTATTCTTTCACCATACTTATTCAACCTGTATGCTGAGCAAATAATCTGAGAAGCTGGGTTCTATGAAGAAAAACATGGCATCAGGATCAGAGGAAGATTCAGTAACAACCTGCGACAGGCAGTGAGCAAGTATACTGTCGTTGTTGTGAAGTGCCGTCGAGTGAGTTACGACTTATGGTAACTCTGTATAGAGTTTCCAAGGAGCGGCTGGTGAACTTGAACTACCGACCTTGCAGTTCAAACGGCTTTGTAGTCTGGCGCATTAACCCACAGTGCCATGCCAGGACTCCATGCTATCATTAGCACCACTAATTAAAGCATAGAACAGGTGGTAGAGGAAACAGGTGGTTACGAAGACTGCTGAAGTCTGATTAGCTAGTGACATTCAGAGCCTGGGTCCGCTGACAGTCTAGCTCCAGACTTTGCGCTTTTATTGAGTTGTACCACAGATAGCGCATTGCTGTGCCGTCGGTATTAATGGAGGTCAGAAAAGATTTAGTCTGTGACCTGCAGAAGTGTTTAAAATAGGGAAGAAAAGACTAACCTGCAAAATCCTAAATGTGGTTTCTATCAACACAGGCTAGACATTCCTAGGTACATTCCTAGATACATTGGCTGTGTCTACTCCTTTTGTATTTCTGATGCCAAAGTGTAGTGGACTCTTAGTGGTTTTTGAATAAAAGAATCAGCGTATAGAAACAACACCAAAAACGATCAGCTGACATATAGAAACCTGTGCAGTACTCATACTGGAGGGGAACTATGAGGCCTAGAATTCTGGTAAGAACCTTCAGGTGACTGAGCAGAGTTTGAGTAGAGAGTTAGTAAAAAAATACAGGTGTTCCAACTAAGCCAGTTGTCTTAGGTTTCTCTGAATTCAAAACTGTGAGCAAGACAGTCGATGGCAAGTGCAGCTACCTGCAACCTCGGGAAGCGCTTCATTAGAACGGAGCACAGGCTACCATGGTAGGCGTTTTTGTGCACAGCATGATTCTCTGGAATGAGGCTTACTCTTTGAGTAAGAACTAAAGTGAAGACTAGAGTAATTGTGCTAATGACTATATAAATGTAGTTACCAAGAAAAGGATTACACTGGATTCTATACATTGCCATGGTAGTGGTTGCAAGCCTTCGAGTCGATTCCAACTCATGACCTTGCATAGGGTTTCTGAGGAGCGGCTGGAAGGTTTGAGCTGTCGATCTTGTGACTAGCAGCCTAGTTCTTACCCTACAGCGCCACACCAGGACTCCACATTGTGCATATGCAGTGCTATTTGAAGGAAAACAAGTAATTTATTTCTTTGCGTGTACTTTTGGTGTTTATAGCTGTGGCCCATACACAAGTACATTCATGTGGTTTAATATTGGTTGTAGCTAAAAACGGAGTCCTGTTGTGGAGCTGTGGGTTAATGCATCAGACTGCAAAGTCCGTTTGAACCACAAGGTTAGAGGTTCAAGCTCACCAGCTGCTCCTTAGAAACCCTATATAGGGTCACTGTTGGTCGGAACTGACTTGTTGGTACTTAACAACAATAATAGCTAAAAACAAGACTATTTATTTTTCCATTTTGTGTTTAAATAAATAGGTGAGAGGGAAGACGAAACAAAACAGCAAAGGAGCAGAAAGAAAAGGGAAAGCAGGAAGAGAGATTTGAGACCCACAACAGTCTTGTCCAGTGAACCAGCTCCTCCACCCAGTTTCCTTACAAGAGGCCAAAGGAAAAGCGCTTCCAACTTCTTCAAGGAACTCACAGAAGAGCTGCACTGTCCTGCTGTGACCTCCACAAGTTTCCCTTCAGAGCCAGAGAGAGTTGCTGCCGTAGTTCCCTCTTCCCTGAAGAATAGCAGGAAGCTTGTAGAAGTGGTAGAATTTCACAGTAGACAGAAAAAGAGAAAACTGAGGCGGAGCCAAGATGAGAACACAGAGGTAAGCGATGGTTGGTGGATATATCTGTGTAGTGGATGGATCCCTGATGGAAATTAGTAGGTGAGTGACTTTATGTTCCACACAAGCACCCGCAGGACTTGTTAAAAGGATTCCTAGGACTCCTTAGTTGTTATATTCACAGTGATAATTTTGAGGAAAGCCTGCAAAGGAGAAAGTGCAGGGGTGAAGTCTGAAGGAAGCCGGGCACAAACTTCCACCACGTGGAATCATAAAGCGTGTGTGACAATGGGTGCAAAAGTGGGGTCAACCAGGGACACTTTCCTGGGCCTCATGCCCAGATTTCTCCTAGGGGGGTCCTTCATGTAGGGGTGCAGGGCTTGTGTGACGGACCTCAGTTACTGATGCACCAGATCCCAGAGGGAGAGTTAAATGTTAACTGTCAAGCCCAGTGTTTATACTAAATATCTGAAAAAAACCAGTACAGTGGGACTCAAGGCCTCAGGCATACCAAAACGCTCCTAAAACAATATTTCTTTATTTCCCAGGGGCTAGCAAACTAGGACTTCCTTGCAGATACTTATGGTTTGATAAACCTAGGCATCCGAGTTAACCCATTCCCATTCTTAGACCTTCTGCTTGAATGGTGCTAAAGAAAATTCAGTCATTTGACACATTTTGGTGTTCCTACTATGTGCCAGCCATTGTTTTAGATGCTGGGGATAAAGCAGTAAACAAAATATACACAAACCTCACCCTCGTACTTACATTCTGTTTAGAAAACAGTTTCATTTCACTGGGCACAGGGGAGTTGTGGTTGCCCATCCAAGCTGTCTCTCCCACATGTCAGTTTCATGGCTTAAATCCAGATATTCCATTTCCTCATGTCCTATAAAACTTTGTCAACTAAAAAAGAAAATGAGAGTTGTAGGTTCCTGTGGTTGCTGTTACAAATGACCACAAACTGGGCGGCATAAAACAACCGAAAGTTCTTTTCTCCCAGTGCTGGAGGTCAGAAGTCGGAAACCACATGTTGACCAGGCTGCACGCTCTCTGAAGGTTGGGGGGAAGAATCTCTTACTTTCCTCATTTAACTTCTGGTGGCTGCAGCTGTCCCTTGGCTTGTGGCGGCACCGCTCCAGTGTTGGCCACATCTTCATATGTGTCTGAATCTCAGCTCTTCCTCCTTCCTTACCTTATAAGGACATCTTTCATTGGATGGTAGTTGTTGTTAAGTGCCCTTGAGTCATTTCCAACTCAGTGACCCTGTTTAGGGCTTCCAGGGAGTAGTTGGTGGGTCTGAACCACTGACCTTGGGGTTAGAAGTCCAGTGCTTATCCTACAGTGCCTCACCAAGGTGATCTGTTTTGTTGGGGTTTTTTTTAAAGTTTTTATTGTGAATTGAAGGTTTACAGGGCAGATTATCAGTTGTACATTCAGTAAATCGTATTTTGTTTCATTGCAATGAGTACAGTCCCCTCCATCTACCATTAATCAACAGTATTTACCTCTGTTCCTTTGTTTCGTTTTTCTGAGGTACACATTCAAAAGAAAAAATACATATTCATTTAAATGTCCAGAGGGCACAATTTGCAAGGCAGCCTCCTATCCACAGCACACAGTCTTCCTCAGTCCATGAGCCTCGAGTCCTCAGCTGCGCTCTCTCTCTCTCTCTCTCTCTCTCTCTCTACCTCTCTACCTCTCTCTATCTCTCTACCTCTCAACCATCGCCTCTGCCACCGAGGTCTCTGCTGTCATTGCTTTTCTGGTTAGGATCTCTTGCTCCACTCATGCACTTCCCTCCTTCTGGTCCTAGGGACCTCTGTTCCTGAAATGGAAGATGAAATACTCCCCCCTTTTAGTTACATGCCTTCTACATTTACAGTTGTGACCATCACAATTAGTCCTGATAACAGTCACATACAACTTAAACGTAAAATCCTAGCCCCATCCTCCCTCCTTCCCTTTATCCAGACCCATCTGGAAAAGTGGGGATTCTACCTTACCTCCTCATTCTGACACTGAGCACACGCGTGAAAGCTTGTAAGCCAGACACTTTGTGCCTTTATAGCCCCCCATTTTTGATAGCCAATGTCTAAGTTGCCCATCCCCTATCAACTCAATGTACTGAGGAGGCAGACTTGATCCTTGCTATGTAGTGTAGAGTCCTTCCCTTTCGGTTGGAATTTTGAGCGACTGTATTTATAAGCAGAGGTCTGTAAGTTTGAGAGTTCTTGCAGGCCTCCCCTGACTTTCAGTCAGCTGACTGCTTCCAACCAACTTTAGCCTCCAGTGGCTAGGTTAGTTAGTATCTATGGGCTCGGTAGTTCATGGGTCTCCCAAAACTTCGGACCGGCCAGTCCTTCCTCTTCTCTCTCTCATCTCATAGTTAACAGGTGTCAGTGGAACCTGGCCAAACTCAGCCCACGTCTTCGTTGCTGCATTTCCCCCACTTCCACCAGAGCAGTCACCAGCAAGCATACAAGCCTGTGTGTGTTCCCTTTGAGTTTCAGTCTTAAAACGGGGATTACCCTGGCGGGCTGACTTCTCTTGCCTTGATGGCTCCAAGGCAAACCACTTGCTTGATGTTCTAACAGTCGAACAGTCTGCTTTTTTTCTGTTGGTCTTTCTTTCAATAAATATTTTCTGTTCCTCTGGCTTCTCTGGGTTGGTCTGCATGTCCTTTCAAGTATGAATATCCTACCTCAGAAGGCTCTGGGTAGGGCTTAGGATTCCATCTAGAGCCCATACTCGACAAAGGCTTAACAAAAGGCCTATTTCCTGGTGGTGGTGGTAGTAAGTGCCCTCGAGTCAGTTCCGACCCATAGCAACCCTGTATAGTGTTTCTGTGGAACAGCTAGTGAGTTTGAACCACCAACCTTGCAGTTCAAATGGCTTTTCAGTCTGGTGCGTTAACCCACAGCACCACACTAGGACTCTCCATTTCACTAGGCAAGTTCCGATTCCCCTTTTAGCTGAAAACGGGCTTACAAGCTTTTAGTAATCATATTTCCCAGTATTCCTTTCTATCACACTGAAATGTCTGTTTTACAATAAAGGCAGGGAAAACCAGTATCTACAAGACAGTCAAGCCCATTAACATTATTTCCCCTCCTTTACCCACTCAGACTATGTTTTGGTCCCTGTATCACAGATACCCTGTTGGTCAAAGATTGTGTTGACATCACTGTTGACCTCTTATCCCATTTAGCCCAGGCAAATCTCCTTAAGTGTGCCTTTATCTAACTTGCTCATCTACCTCCCACCCCCTTCTTGTGTACTACCCTCCGCTTCCTTGTACATTGCCCTCCCTATCACCTGAGTTAACATGTGTCTACACCTTAGCACATGAATTACTGACTCCTCCCTCCCACCCCTGCTAACCACCAAATAATGTTTCTTTTAGATTGGAAATTTTTTCTTGAGCTTTTACAATAATGGTCTTATGCAATATTTGTTCATTTGTGACTAATTTCACTCTTCATAGTGTCCTCAAGATTCATCCATGTTACGAGGTGTTTTGCTGCTTTGTTACTCTTCAAGGTAGCATAATATTCCATTGTGTGTATGTACCAAATTTTGGTTATCCATTTTTCCATTGATGGACACTTAGGCTGTCTCCATCTTTTTGCTGTTGTGAATAGGGCTGTGGTGGACATTGGTGTGCATACATTTACTCATGTTCTGACTTGTATTTCTTGTGGAAAGTCCAAGTAGAGGAATTGCTGGATCACAAGGTATTTCTATTTCTAATCTTCTGAGGAAGTGCCATACTGTTTTCCAGAGTGGTTCGACCATTTTAAAGTCTCACCAGAAACATACAGTCTCTCCACATCCTCGCCAACATTTGTTGTCCTTTTTGTTTTGTTTTAACTTTGCTGTTATTGGTGGTGTGAGATGATTGATACCTTATTGTTTTGATCTGCATCTCTTGGAGTTCTGGTGTGGCGCTGTGGGTTAATGCGCTGGACTGTAAAGTCACTTTGAATCTCATGATCGGTAGTTCAGGCTCACTAGCTGCTCCTTGGAAACTCTATATAGGATTGCTATGGGTCAGAACCAACTTGATGGTACTTAACAAAAACACAACAATGGCTAATGATCGTGACTATTTCTCCATATGTTTGTTGGCTACCTGAATGTCTTCCTTGGTGAAGTGTCAGTTCATGTTCTGTGCTCATTTTTTTAATTGGGTTATTTGTCTTTTTCTTGTAGAGGTGTTGTTGTTGTTGTTGTTGTTGTTAGGTGCCATCGAGTTGGTACTGACTAATAGCAACCCTGTGCACAACAGAATGAAACACTGCCCAGTCTTGGGCCAACCTCACTATTGTTGCCACACTTCAGCCCATTGATGCTACCACTTTGCCAATCCATTTAGCTGGGGGTCTTCCTTTTTTTCTCTGACCCTCCACCTTACCAAGCATGATATCCTTCTCCAGAGACTGGCCCCTCCTAACAATATGTCCGAAGCATGTGAAATGAAGTCTGGCCATCCTGGCCTCCAAAGAGCACTCTGGCTGCACTTCTTCCAACACAGATCTGTTGGTTCTTTTGGCAGCCCATGACACTTTCAATATTCTCCTCCAACACCATAACTCAAAAGCATCAATTCTTCCACGGTCTTTCTTATTCACTATTTAGCTTTCTCATGCATATGAGGTTATTGAAAATACCATGGCTTGGGTCAGGCGCACCTTAGTCTTCAAGCTGACATCTTTGCTCTTCAACACTTTAAAAAGGCCTTGTGCAGTAGATTTGCCCAATGCAATACATCACTTGATTTCTTGACTGCTGCTTCCATGTGTGTTCCATGTTCATCCAAGAAGAATGAAGTCCTTGACAACTTTAATCTTTTCTCCATTGATAAGAATGTTGTTTATTGGTTCACTGGTGAAGATTTTTGTTTTCTTTATATTGAGATGCAATCCATACCAAAGTCTGTGCCCTTTGCTCTTCATAAGTAAATATTTTAAGTCCTCTTCACTTTCAGCAAGCAAGGTTGTATCATCTGCATATCGCAGGTTTTTAATGGATCTTCCTTT